GTCAAAACCTCAACCAGTAACCTCTCAGACCACCTCTTCTAAACACTTTCAGCAGGTTGGTTGAAGGTCTGAACAACTATAATTTGTAACATGAGCTGCCATCTACTCTGTCACGCCCCTTCGGAAGTCGCCTGGCCCTCTTTCACAGCAGTTGGGAGAAGATCACCTCTGACGTGTGGGTCTTGGAGATTATTTCAAAGGGTTACACCATTCAGTTCACATCCCTCCCCCAGTCCCACTCTCCTTCGCCTCTTCAGACATGCTTCTGATGAGAACCTGCTTCACCAGGAAACAGATCATCTCTTATGCCTAGGGGCCATAGAATCAGTCCCAGCGCAACTCATGGTAAAGGGATTTTACTCCCATTATTTCCTGATTCCCAAGGCAAAGGGAGGGTGGAAGCCCGTTGTAGATCTAAGGGCATTAAACAAATATGTGAAGGTGCAAAAGTTCTATATGGTCATTCTAGCAGCCATTATTCCAGCTGTAGAGCAAGGAGATTGGTTTTTAATCCATGATCTACAAGATGCCAACTTCCACATCCTGATATGACCGTCACACAGGAGATTCTTATGGTTTATCTTTGGGCAGGACCATTATCAGTACAGGGTGCTCCCATTCAGCTTCTCATCTGCACACAGGGTATCTTTCAAGGTTCTCTCCATTGTAGTGGTTCACCTGCGAATATTCAGCATTGTGATCTATCCATAACTAGGCAACTGGCTCCTCAGGGCTCCCTCATTTCAGAATGCCGTTCAAGCCACCCAGATGACCAGGCACACATTTGTTTAACTGGGTCTACAGCTCAGTTAACAGAAATCAACACTGACCTCAGTACAGTGACTGGAGTTTCAGTGCTGGCCTCAATGCAGTAGAAACAGGAGCGTTCCTCCCACTGCACAGACTCACCACCCTTAGAGTCTCAAAGAGATAGTCCAGTCCAGTCCTCAAACATTGACCAGGAAATGCCTGCAACTGCTAGGTCATATGGCAGCATGCACCTTTGATACTCCAAACACCTGGATGTTCATGAGGTGTCTTCAGATGTGGATCACTTCTGTCTATTCCCTGAACAAGAACAGACTAAACAAACTGCTATCACTAACCTCCACAGTAAAGCACTCCTTGGACTGTTGGACAGACCCATCCAATGTCCAAGCAAGTGTTCCATTCGTGCAACTGACAGTGACTCTAATAATAGATGCCTCCCTAATAGGCTGGGGAGCTCACCTACACAACTGCAAAGTTCAAGGCAAGTGATCTTCCACAAAAGCAACCCTCCATAGCAATCTTTTGGAGTTAAGGGCCATAAGGAACATGTGTGCACACTTTCTGCCTTTCATCAAGAACACCTACATGAAGGTCATGATGGACAATATGACCTGTATGTTTTACATAAATCACTAGTGGGCACCAGATCTCCCTCCCTCTGTACGGAAGCACTCAAACTTTGGAATTGGTGCATCTGTCACAACGTGCTCGTCTCAGCTATCTGTCTCCCAGGAATACAGAACATGACAACCAACAGTCTTAATCAGAACTCTTCTCACGACCATGAATAGGAATTGAACTCAGAAGTGCTACAAGACATATTAGTCTTTGTGGAGCCCCGACTACAGAGCTCTCCACTACTTACCAGAACAAGAAATGGTCCTCGTCACTGCTCCAGGCCTGACCTGGGGAAACATTCACTTGGAAATGCCCTCATTCTTCCATGGGACCTCTTGTATGCCTGTCTCCCATTTCCTCATCTGTTGAAGGTTCTGTTGAAAATTCAGCAAGACAAAATGAGTTATTCTGATTGCCCCCTCCTGGCCAAGGCAAATCTGGTTCCCTTACCTGACACAGATGGCAATATGTCCTCAGGTTTGTCTTAGGCCCATTCCCCATCTGCTCTCTCAAAGCGAGAGGCTGATCCTTCACCCCAACCTTCAGGTCTTCCGCCTTCAGGGTTGGCTCCTTATTGGTTCCGAGTTTTAGAGGTAGAATCCTCTGACGAGGTGAAAGATGTGTTGCTGCACAGCCAAAAGCCAACTACTTGATGTACTTACCTACAAAAAATGGAAATGATTCCAAATTTGGTGTCATTCTAAGCACACAGACCCAACCTTGTTTTCTCTCCCTCTGATTTTAGACTACATTTTAGACCTCAAGATGTAAAAACTCACTCAGCTCCCTTAAGATACATCTTGCAGTCATAACGGCTTTCCACTGTTAGATGGATACTTGGTGTTTGCTCTCCCACTGATATGTATATTCCTTAAGGGCACTGGGAATCTCTTCCCAAATGTGAGACCACCCATTCCAACCTGGGACCTTAACTTAGTTTTCAGAGCTTTGACTAGACTTCCCTTTGAGCCCATGGCAACTTGCTCTCTTTTTTACACATGTCCATGAAAACACCATTTCTAATGGCCATCACCTCAGCGGGATGCATAGAAGAAATAATGGCCCTAGTTGCATACCCACCATACATGGTTTCTTTTAAAGAAAGTCCTGACGTTGCATCCCAAATTTCTCCCTAAAGTTGCCTCCACTTTCCATATGAATCAACAGACCCATCTCCCTGTTTATCCGCAAAACCATACCATGACAACAGGGAGGTGATTCTGCATATGCTAGATGTTAGACGAGCACTAGCATTCTACTTGGACAGAACTAAGGACTTTAGGAAATCCCCTAAGCTCTTTCTTTGGTTTGCAGAAAGATCCAAGGACTGTGTGATATTGACTCAGTATCCAAATGGGTCTCGGGTTGCATTAATCTCTGTTATGAAGGACACAACCTACTGCCTCCGTATGGAGTCCATACGCACTCCACAAGGTCAGTTTCTACCTTGGTTGCATTCCTTAAAGATGTCCTTATCTCCGCAATCTGCAGAGCAGTGACTTGGGCTTCTGCCCACACTTTCGCAGAACATTATGTGATTACTGGAGATTCAGCTTCTGATGCCATCTTCAGCTCCTCAGCACTCTCTGTAGTAACAGACTCCACTTCAAAGTCCCAACCCTCCATGGGGAATATTGCTCTGAAGTCACCTACAGCGAAGAACCCATAGGGACACTACTTGAAGAAGTAGTTACCTTGTACAGTAATGATGGTTCTTTGAGATGTGTGTTCCTATGGGTGTTCCATGACCCGCCCTCCTCCCCCTCTACTTTGGAGTTCTCCCTAACGGGCTCTTCAGTAGAGAAGGAACTGAGGGGGGGTTCGCCCGCGCACTGCTAAGTAACCTTGAGGCAGACCATGAGGGAGGGAGGGTGCATGTGCTGGCCTCATGGACACTGCTACTGAAGTTCTCCGATCAGCAGTGCAGGGATGCAAGCACACCTACAGTGGAGCACCCACAGGGGGACACATCTCAAAGAACCATCATTACTGCAGAAGATGAGTTAACTTCGTTTTTGTACTACCTGTCTATGAAGACTGCCTTTTTAGTAGCATTACCTGGCCAGAAGAATAGGGGATATTCAGACCCTTATGGCGGGATCTCCTTGCATAGTACTTCACAAGGACAAAGTGACTGAGACTTCACTCAAGCTTTTCGCCTAATATGGTTTCTGATTTGCATCTTAATCAGATGATTCACCTACCTGTCTTCTTCCCCAAGCCTCACTCTACTCAAACTTAATATCTTTGACATTTTCAAATATCTCTCTATTTAGAGAGAGAAGGTAGCTATTCAGGGAATCTTGACTGTTTCTAGCATTTGCTGATAGAATAAAGGGACAACCTATGTCCACTCAAAGACTGTCAAAATTAGTCTTGAACTATGTTAATGCTATGAGCTGGTCCATTTAGAGCCATCTGAGCAAGTTAGGGCTCATTCCATCAGAGCCCAGGCTGCCTCTGCTACATCTTTTGACATGTCACAATTTCAGAGTTTGCAAAGCTCATACCTGGAGTTCAGTTCACACCTCCACTCAGCATGACTCCTTGGTAGAAGGCCCCAGACCTGATGCCCACTGTGACAGAGCTTTCCTGTAGTCATCATCCAGGATTCTGAGCACGCACCTCAGGACACAAGTTATTCTTGTGAGTCAATAGAAGTGGAATACTTGTGGATGTTCACTTGAAGAGGAAAGAACAGTTACTTAGCCTATAATAAGTAGTAACTGGTTCTTTGATATGCTTTGTGTACATCTGTGCCACACCCAACCCTCTTTCCCCACTATTGTAGAGTTCTCGGTAATTTGGAGACTGTGTTAGTGAAGGAACTGGGGAGTAGTTATGGATGCCCAGAACTTTAAGCCATTGGCTATGGCGCATTGGAGAATGCATAGAGCATAGCCACAGCCCCCAAAGGACACTACTGCTCAGAAAACTCTGGTCTTACATACATGGGGCTGTGCATATCACAAGTGGAATACATGGATACAACACATCTCAAATAACTAGTTACCTGTAGTGTAAGTAAATGTTCTTTTTAGTGGCAGCATTTTATAAAAAGGTATGAAGCCTTAGAGTATGTCACTTTACACTGTTGAAAAGGTGTGAAAGAGTCTTACGCTACATCTACACTATGAGCTAGGGGCAGGATTCCCAGCTTGTGTACACATGCTCGCCTTAACTCTCATCGGCACTAGCACACTCAAAATAGTGTATCTGCAGTAGTATGGACTGTGGCAGCAGTGGCCTGAGCTTGCTGCCCCAAGTACTCACCCATGGGGTTAAGGCAGGTTTGTACTGAGGCAGCTAGCCCATGCTAGCTTTCTGTGCTACCGTCTGTTCTTTAACATTTTGAGTGTGCTAGCTCAGATGAGAGCTAATGGGAGTATGTGTATACAAGCTGGGCATCACACCCTTAGACATAGCCTTAATGTAAATGAAAATCCAGCCCTTTATCTCCAGCTCTCACACTTCATTTTGTTTTTTTAACTGCATTGTTCCTGGCTCCTCTCTGATTATTTTGATGATAAAACAGAGAAAAATATAACAATATAAATAATTTAAAAGTGTGTGTTTGAAAAATATAATGATTGATGTTTCATTTATTTTAGGTTATCCATTCAGCACTTAGAAAGCTGGACAAAGATCTCACAACAGTGGAAGAATTTATTGAGCACTTGACCTTTCTGAGCCAAATTTCCTCAGAGTTGCCAATGCTAGAGACTCAGTATAACACTCTTTCCCAATTGTATTCTATTGCAAGAGCCTATGACTTCTTTATTCCAGTTGAACAGTTTGCCTTATATCAGACCCTTACTCGCAGTCTGCATGATCTTAAATCAAGTATCCTTATTTGTGAAAAAGGAAAAAGTGACAATATTATAAAATTCAGTGCAGATTTGGATGGCTATTTTGGCAACCTACAGTTTGAACTTAGGAACTTTAAGAACAAAGTAAGTTACTGGTCTGTTAAGAAAGCATATTTTCATCTTTAGAGGCATTGATTGAAAATGAGTTTAAGAACCAGGAACTCAAGCATTCCGATCCTGTCACTCTGGCTCATATTGTGGCCTTGGGCAAATCGCTTAATACTATATCTATATCTCATTTTCCCCATATGTAATGTGTGGGTAATAATACTTATGTAGCAGATGGAGGTATTATGAGGATTAATTATGTAATATTCATAAATGCCCCAATTCAATAAAGCACTTAGGCATATTCTTAAGTTCCATTTACTATGTTTGTTTATTTATTTGTATTGCAGTACCACCCAGAGCCCAGGTCCCCGTTATGCTAAGTGCTGTACAAACAAAAAAACTGTTCTTGGCCAAAAGAACATATACAATCTGTATTTAAGACAGACTAGGTGGACCACTAATGGAAGTGCAAGGTGACAATGAGATACAATCATAGAACTGGAAGGGACCTCGAGAGGTCATCTAGTCCAGTCCCCTGCACTCAAGGCAGGACTAAATATTATATAGATTGAGGTAGGCAACTTATGGCACGCGTGCCGAAGGCGACACGCAAGCTGATTTTCAGTGGCACTCACACTGCCCGGGTCCTGGCCACCGATCCGGGGGGCTCTGCATTTTAATTTAATTTTAAAAACCTAATTTACTTTACATACAATAGTTTAGTTATAGATAATAGACTTATAGAAAGAGATCTTCTAAAAACGTTAAAATGTATTACTGGCACGCAGAGCCTTAAATTAGAGTGAATAAATGACTCGGCACACCACTTCTGAAAGGTTGCTGACCCCTGATATAGACCGTCCCTGACAGGTGTTTGTCCAACCTGCTCTTAAAAATCCCCAATGATGGAGATTCCACAACCTCCCTAGGCAATTTATTCCAGTTCTTAACCATTCTGACAATTAGAAAGTTTTTCCTAATGTCCAACCTAAACCATCCTTGCTGCAATTTAAGCCCATTGCTTCTTGTCCTATTCCCAGAGGTTAAGAAGAACAATTTTTCTCCCTCCTCCTTGTAGCAGCTTTTTATGTACTTGAAAACTGCTATCATGTCTTCTGTCTTCTCTTCTCCAGACTAAACAAACCCAATTTTTTCTATCTTCCCTCATAGGTCATGTTTTCTAGACCTTGAATCATTTGTGTTGCTCTTCTCTGGACTTTCTCCAATTTGTCCACATCTTTCCTGAAATGTGGTGCCCAGCACTGGACACAATACTCCGATTGAGCGGAGTAGAGCGGAAGAATTACTTCTGGTGTCTTGCTTACAATACTCCTGCTAATACATCCTAGAATTATGTGTAGTGTGGGGTTGTTTGTTTTGTTTTGTTTTGTTTTGTTTTTTGTTTGGTTTTTTTGCAACAGTGTTTCATTTTTTACTCATATTTAGCTTGTGATCCACTATGACCCCCAGATCCTTTTCCGCAGTACTCCTTCCTAGACAGTCATTTCCCATTTTGTATGTATGCAACTGATTTGTTCCTTCCTAAGTGAAGTATTTTGCATTTTTCCTTATTGAATTCCATCCTATTTACTTCAGACCATTTCTCCAGTTTGTCCAGATCATTTTTAATTTTAATCCTATCCTATCCTATAGCATGTTAAACAGTGGTCACAGCACAGCAGCTGCCTAAGAATAGTCAAGTGTTTTATAGGCATCAAGGCATAAGTGGATGTTAATAGACCTTTAATGGAGCTTTTGTCATGTGCTTAAGTACTTTGGTGAATCAGGTTGGACTTAAAACATGCTTAAAGTAAAGCACATGCTTAAGTGTTTTGCTGAATTGGGGTCAAAACATTCTGGAAATATAGAGATATAACTAATGTTTTCAATTATTGTCACCAACTTCATTTTTGGAAAATGGAAACATCTGAAAAATAAACAAGTTAATAAATATTCAATATGTAGATGCACACCATGCATGCACTTAAAGTGATATGGATGTGCACACAAGAAATGTTAATTCAAAATTTGAACCAAATTTCTTCAGATGTTTACTCTCTGAAAATAACATACTGGTTGAGTTGCCCATGGGCTAAACATACCTAGTGCAATACTAATGCATAAAAAAATCATTAATAATTGTGACCGGGAGGCCAGGGGGATCATGCTGAGATTGCTCAATTAGGGCACACTGCAAAAAATGGAGCAGACAATCCCAAAACTGGTGGGTATTCTGATACTTAAAATTACCAAACCAGCAACAAAAATGCTTCTACAATACCTTACTGGTTACCCAGAAACCAAAACACAGCTCCTTTAAAGCAGTGGTCTCCAAAGTGGGGTGCGCAAGAGGATCCTTGGGGGTGCGCGGCAGGAGGATCGTGGTTTTTTTTGTTGTTTTTGTTTTTTGCTTCGAGCAGCTTTTTTTTTTTTTTGCTTTGGCAAAAATGCTAGAGCCGGCGTGGCAGGGGGTGCATGCTCAAAAATTTTTTACTGATAGGGGTGCGCAATCAAAAAAGTTTGGCGACCACTGCCTTAAAGCAACCCAGCTTTGGGCTCCCAGCCATACAGCAAAGTCAAATATGATGAGGATTACTGAAAATCTTGTTCATCATGTAAAAAGCTATACCAATCCCAAAGGATCGGACCCATTACCCACCAGATTAATGAATATCTTAGCTCTTACCCAAATACATGCTTACAGCCAATTCTTATTAACTAAATTAAAATTTATTTAAAAAGTAAAGAATGTATTGGTTAAAAGATCATTATGCATACAGATATGAATAGAGTTCTTCGGCCAGTTTCATAATAGAGATGGTGAGCTTTAAAGTTGCAAAGAGTTCTTTCAGAATTAGTCCATAGGTTACAGTCCAGTGTTCAATATCAGGGTTATCTAGAAGGGACTGGAGACCTCAATCTTGCGACTCAAACTTCCCCTGATGGAGCTTAAGCAGATCTGAGATGACAGGATCAGGGCTCTAGAGTTCTTTTTATAGATGTCAAGCAGCTTCTTGACAGCGTGCTGTTCTTGGGTGAACAATAGTCAATTATCGTAGCTTTGAAGTAGACTTCCTATTTCCTAAGCATCACTGGTAATTAGCTACATGGATTAACATAAAGCAACTGCCCATCTCCCGCCATTTACAGGTAGTTTACTATATAGTTCAAAGAGAAATTAAGACAGTGATATTACTACATTCACAGTTCATCTAAATGTTAACATCTCCTTTTGATCTCTGGATTAACAGAATACTGCTCATAGATGGGAAAGGTTTGGTTATATTGTCAGCCTCTAACAATATATATGTAAACACACAAAACCACAATCATTATCTACTAATATGTCTTTAAATGTTGAATTTGGGTCAGTTATCCTGCTAGTTGCTTAACCCTTTATGGCTTAATGTCACAATAAAAATAAATTTAAGACTTACATATACTGCTTTCTTCCTCTAAAAAGTGTAGATTTTTGATAGATTGCATGTGCATGCAGCAGAACAAACAATAACAAAACAATGTGGTAAAAGGTAGAAATTCATAAAGAATTGAATGTTTTTTCAGATATTTGATTGTGCACATATTTTAAAAGTTTTATATGAGTACTGTAATTGGTTACTAATAGTAGGTTCTGTACTTTGACATTCTTAGAACACATTTTAACATATTTTTATGTCACATAGGTGAGAAATCCAGTTCTCCTCCTTAGCAAAACGTTGCCTAAGACAGCTAAAGAGATGATCCAAAGTCTTGTGGAAGAAGTTGCAGTTATTTCTAACAAATCCAGAAGTTATGCAAATTACCAGGATCTCTTTGACAGTTCCATTGCTGACATGAGATCATTGTCATTGGAAAGGATGTCACAGAAGAATCAAGTTGGAGACTCAAGTCCTCAGAGAGTGAATAAAGAGCTCTCTGAAGTTGAAAGTGAATTATCTTTGCGAAAACTCTTGTGGGACTTACTAGAGGAATGGGGGAAGCTTTCTTTTAGGTGGAAACATACACTTTTTCAGAATGTTGATGTAGATTTAATACAAAAGGATGTTAGCAGATTTATGCAGACAATACAGATTCTAGAAAAAGGTAAAAATACTAAAATCGCTAGTTGTTTGCAACTTATAGCCTTTCATCAATGTATTGAGGGAAACAAAATATTTAGAAATTATGGGCTAGATCCTCAACTGGTGTAAATTAGAATAATTTCAATTATTTTAATAGGTCTGCAATGATTTTCACCACTGTATCCTTATTCTACAAAATCAAATTATGAGACGCAAAGACGTTGAATTGGTGGTGCATTCATAGTAGCTTTAAACTTAAAGAATATTCCTGGTTCTTCTCCTTTTGTGGGGGATAAAGAGGGGTTTGGACTTCTTCAAATCATAGAACATGAGGATATTGATGTCCAAATTATTCAAAAAGCCATGAGCATTTGAATAAAATTAAATTAAAAAACGATAGATATGTTTCATTATTGTATTTTAATATGTTCTTATAAATGATGCTAATGGAACAAATTAATATGATAATGGAGCACAGTTAGTAAGATGCTAAAGAAAAATAATTAGAAAAATATCTTGTGTTATATATACTTAGTAGTAATGTTGTATCTGCTTACGCAAATTGAAATAAGACTGATATATTGCAAACATTTTATATTTTCCAAGGTTTACCAGAAAATACTATTATAATAGGTCTGAAGCAGTCACTAAGCGATTTTAAAGAAGGCCTATCTGTGATTGTGTCTTTAAGAAGTCCATGTCTTCAACCAAGGCATTGGGAGGCTATACGGTATATTATTGGGCAATCCATTTCTTGGGATAAAAAGTTTACCCTGGAGGATGTTCTGCAACTCAATGTAAATATATGTTGCATTATTTATACCTGACTCATGAACTGATTTTAACATTTTTTGTTGTAAAATGTGGTTATAATTAGTTTATTACAGCTGTACTTATGATTGAAGTTTTACAGTTAGCTTTTAAATATATAGTCCAGTCTACGACTACTACTACTCCACTTCTGCAACTTTAATAGGGATATTGTATATTTTTCAGGAATTTATACTCCAGTTATTTAGTAAAATATCTGTATTGTCACTTGTTTATCTATTGTTCAATCCTGTGTAATACAGTTTTCCACTTTAGTTGTTTCAGTACAAGAAAGAAATCGGTGATGTATCAGTAACAGCAACCAATGAAGCTACCCTTGAAATAATGCTGAATAAGATAATTAACCTTTGGAATAAAACTAATTTCCGTTTGTCTCCTCACCGCTCTGAAACTTCAACTGTCATGATTATTTCATCTGCTGAAGATATAATGGCTCAGTTAGAAGAATCTCAAGTAACAATTTCAACAATTAAGGGTTCTTGCTATGTTGGGCCATTTAAGGTAAAGATTACTTGTGACATTTGTGTATGTTTGGAGAATAAAGTTTGTGGAAAACCTGTGCAAGTGGTGTATAACTGAAATAAATAGTATCCTTGATGTTTACTTTCTTTTTACTTTCAAAGCCTGGCAGTAAACCTTTACTAAAGGTATGCATTCCTGTATGCGTGTTGCTGTAATTAGTTGCAGAGCTGCTAGTCAGGAGGGTCTTCATAGAACTTCTCAGAAGTTCTGTCTCCACAAGACCATTAGCAGCATTTGCATTGCAGTTACTGTATACTATATGTGATGTGTTTGATTAACTTTCTGGCAGTTTTTCTACTCAGCAGCGATTAGTCCTGGTTAGATTTATTTTTGTTATTAAACAGCTGCTTTTTGGTATCACTACTGAATATATAGTCACTTTTCAACCCTGTCCAAGGTAGAAGAGAAGCTAGATCTTTCCACAGCATAGATCAGCAGGAAAAAGAGGGGGAACAGAGCATTTAGCTTCTAAAGCATCCAATTCCTCCTTAGCTTTCTGTCCTGACTTCCATGACTTATATGTGAATTTGTCTAATCACAATGATTTGAAAAGGAAGGCACTATATTTGGATGCATCTAACTTTGTGTGCAACTGTACTTAAACCATACAAATGATATGAGCTCTTTTCAAAGATCATTTAGTGCTCTACTTCAGTAACACTTTTTCAGCATTATTGAGCTATATTTAAATGTAAGTTTTCTGCAATGACCATTTGCTAATTATATGAGAATTGAAGAGGGGATTGAAATGAGAAAAGGTGAGCTAGGATGGGGGGAGGGCATTCCATACATGGAAAAATGTACAGATGGAAGTAGTAGGAGATGAACAAGGCATGGACTCACTGGGACAAGGAGGAATGTGGTAAAAGTTCTGGTCAGAGACATAGGCCAGAGTGGAGTTGTGCACTTGAAGATAAGAATAAGAAATTTCGTGGTTAAGAGTGAATCAGTGAAATGATTCAAAGAGTGAAGTATGGTAACATGGCTAGATTGATGTGGGAGGAAGATTGCCACTAACATATGTTTTGGATGGACTGAAGGGAGTCAATGTAGATGTTGCAGAGGCTTAAGAAGGTGATTATAATAATCGATATGCACAATGATGAGGGCATGAATGAGTGTTGTAGCTGTGAGGCAGAGAGAAAGGGATTGATTTGTGGTGTGCTGTGACGAAAGAAACAAAAAGATTTAGACATGGCCTGAATGCACGGGGAGTAGAAAGGAGTTAAAATGACCCCAGGGTTTGAGCCTGGGTGATTGGGAGGTTGGTGGTGTTAATAACACAACCAAAGAAGTGGATGGGGGTAAATTATGACTTAGGAGGATAGATTTTAGCCTTGGTAAGCTTATGTTTTTACCAAGATCTTCAGGAGGATATGCTGGAGAAATCAGTTGGGATGTGGGACTGGAGAGAAAAGGGACATAGGTGTGGAAAAGGAGACTTGTTCATTAGGATAAAGATGCTGAAGCTGTAAGAGTGGATGAGGTTACCCAGGTATAGTGAAAGAAGAAAAAAGGACAAAGAAAAAGCCCCATATGACTTCCATAAAGAGGGAAAGAAAGGAAAGAAGAGTAACCATCAAAGAAGTCTCAAATGCTAAAATGGTGCAGTAATGGACACAGAATAGCAGACTACATAAGAATAGCGTCCTGAAGTTTTTAACTCAGTCCTGTCTTCAAGTCCATGAAAGTTTGAGTATGGGACAAAATCCTTAGTATTTTGCAGTGTGCATGAATTATAGAGCTAAAATCTGAATTGTGTGCAGAGTGCTTATCAAATCATGCCCTTACTTTGTACAGTAATCATATGTATGAAACAAATTAAGATGAATATATGCAAATTCAGTTGACATTATGATGTTTTGTAATCTATGTTTTCACTTTTTCTGCCTTCACATAGGTCCTCAGCAATACAGATTATTTTGGCTCCTTTTAATTATATGAATCTTGCTCTTACATCTCAAATGTGACATTTTAAATCGCATTTTTTAGTCATTTTTAAGGAGTCCAATTGTTTATATAGCTGGGCATGATTTATAGTTTTGAGTCTCAGCCAGATTGCAACTGTAAATGGCTTTAATTTATAGCTCCTAGAACGGATTGATTATTATTAAAAAGATATGCAGCTGGGTATTGCATCTGTATCAGTATATTAAAAAGAAACCAGATATAGTAACTAGGTCTTCTTAGGATCATCTTGCAAAATTCTGCTTGCCCTTTGTTTAAAGCAAATATGAATATGTATATTTGTTAAAAAGTTTGTAGAAATAGGTTCACAGAATTTCCCTTACTGTTCTATTGGCTTCAGTGAACAGTAACTAACAGTGAGGCTAATTTATGAGCAAGGAAAGCAGGATTCATCTCCATAGTTTATACCACTACAAATAAAGTTAAATTTTAATTCATGCCAGTGCCCTGAAATGAAAAGATTTCCAGCTGAGTGATAGCTATTTTCTTCATACTCTTATGTATTATTATTATTATTGAAACATAATATAAAACAAACTTATGACATATCTTAGTAAGCCTTTTTCAGATACAAATAATTAGCTCCTAAGCAGGTTTTTTGGTCACATTATATGAAAGTGTGGAAATTTTGTATTTAGTACTATGCTATAGTCTGCTTAAAACTCCATCAAAATTTTGTTTGGGAGTCCTTAAGTAACATATCTTGCAAAAGTAAGAATTTCCACCAAATTTAGATTTTACTTTATATTATTCTATTTTTTATGGTAGAACCTTGTAGACGCATGGGATCATACGTTAAATCTCTTCTCTCGCACCCTGGAGGAATGGTTGACTTGCCAAAGGAATTGGATTTACCTGGAACCAATCTTTCATGCTCCAGAAATACAAAGGTATATATCAGGGGTCGGCAACCTTTCAGAAGTGGTGTGCCGAGTCATTTATTCACTCTAATTTAAGGTTTTGCGTGCCAATAATACATTTTAACGTTTTTAGAAGATCTCTTTTTATAAGTCTATAATATATAACTAAACTATTGTATGTAAAGTCAATTAGATTTTTAAAATTAAATTAAAATGCAGAGCCCCCCGGATCGGTGGCCAGGACCCGGGCAGTGTGAGTGCCACTGAAAATCAGCTTGCGTGCCGCCTTCGGCACGCATGCCATAGATTGCCTACCCCTGGTATATATGAATGTGTATCGCATTATCTCAAGGCAAAGTGATCTTAGCAGATCAGAGAACTGAACCTCAAGTATGTTCAAGCATTTAAGAAATAGTGACTAATTTTTAAGGGAGGATACTATGGTGATGCATGAGACAAGAAACACAGATGAGTGGATAGCTAGACTGTGATATGATGAAGTTTGACATTCTAGGATGGGGCACAGTGCTAGAGAGGTTCAGTAGTACTGACACACTAAATGTCAGAGAGCTCTATTTTATAAAATCAACCAAGATATAAATAGCTTGAAAAGAAAAGTTAAAACATTTTGCTCTTTTCTGTATTCAGAATTGTACCAATTTAAAAAAAATGTGATTTTGAACTGATTCAATTAAGCTACTGCAAACCCTGTGTACTCATTCTTTTAATTAGCTTAATTGGATATCAAGGTATAGTAAATTGACATAAACCAGGTTTAAATTGAAATAAGAGTGTTCACACATGGTTTTGCACCAGTTTAACTCAGATAGCTTTTAAAACTGCATTTTATAGACAAGGCTTAAGAGGCTAGATTACATGCCCACTTCAGTAAAACAATACTGCAGTCTATTTTTAATTACAGTAGCCTTTATCTTGTCTTTGTATGATTATTTTTTATTCTTAGCTAGCTTCCAAGTATGGGGATGAGTGAAGCAATTACACCAAAAGGAAAAACTAGGTTACTTCCTGTTTACTAGAGTTTTCTGAATATTTTTTTTCACCCCAGATCCACATTCATCTTTCTCACCATAGTATCTTCTCTTATCTTGGTCAGGAATTCAGGGGATATGTTGGATGTGCATCTTATTATAGAGGTTTTGGCAGTGATTAGTGCACATTCAGGCACTGAGATACTATTGTAAGAGAGACATAAGTGCCTAAATAGATAGATTGACCGACTAACCTGTGATTGAGGCATGCTATCCTGACTCTGTGTGGCTCAACATGCGATTCCAAAATGTGGGTTTGTGGAAGCAGTATAAAGGATATAGGGAAAATAAATTGACAAAATTCAGAATTAGATATATTTGAATGCTGCATTCTATAAATTGATCTCTAATATGATCTGTGATTTAAATAGGCAGCTTCCAGCAGAAGCAAGTCTTTTCTCTCAGGTCAATAACAAATGGAAAGAGATAATGGCATGTACAGAGGATGACCCAAATGCTCTTAGGGCAGCCACAACTGCAGGAGTCCTTGAGATGCTGCAGACCAACAATGCACATCTTGAAAAAATACAGAAGTCTCTTGAGGTAAAAACATACCAGATCTTCCTACTTCCAGCCCTGTCCCCTATCCATGCTGCGAACCAGTGCTTTTGCCTTAGTAAAACTTTGTGATAAAAAACTAAACAAATAGTATAAGAATCTGTATTTAATTGTGGGTTTGAGTGAGATATTTGGAAATGACAACCTAAACATATCATGTTCAAAGAACAAACATCTTGAACATATCTTTGGACATGACTCTCTACAGATACATTTTTAACCCTTCAAAATAAAAGTCTAATGAAGTCATAAATCACTTATGAGAGGTAATTAAGCTTCAGTTTATATCTATATAGTAGTAAAAGGTAAAATCCCTTTAAAAGACTCACTAATAAAAAAAGTAAACCCAGATTTTTCTGTACACCGAAGTGCTAGATAATGAGGTTCTAATGTTTCACAGATGAGTGGTGCCAACTTCATATGTAAGACTGGGCAGTATTTTGCAATTACAGTAAGAGTTCAACCTCTGTTTTTTGTATGAAAAAGTTTATCTGCTTCAAATTTTCAGCACATAGGTTTTGAGTAAAGTCTGCATTTTCAGAGGATTTTCAAACAAATCCATGTATTTGTTTCTGAGTTCTAACTTCTTAAAATTGGCATTAAAAAGTTGACATTTTAAGTCTCATAATTTTCTGGGCTTCTGTAGCTTAAAAACTAAGTACAGTAGAAAATCAGAAATTGATACATAATTGGCGTTTGGGCGGTCTCTGTATAGTTGCATAATTATTTTGTTAATAAAGAAAAAAAATTAGTGTTATTTGTCGTAACTGAAACCTTTTGTGCAACAGTTAGCTGGCAGAGAAAATATCTCCTGTTGGCTTCTCCCCTTGTCTGATGTGTTATGCAGAAGCCCCTTTGAATGGCTCAGGAAAGGAATACAACACTGGCTCTTGTCCCCAAGTCTGCCATCCTTATTGGGGCAGAACAGAAGTTGTAGTGCATTGTCTATGTTGTATGGTGGTTGTTCTGTAATGAGGTGTGTGATTATTTTTGGAAGAGTGAGAGTATGTAATTTCAGATGCCCGAACATTGTATTTCCTCACTTATGTGATCTTGTGTTATGGTTGGTGTGTACATAAAATTCCTAACTGTATTTTGAGCATCAGTGATGAGGCAAATCTGTGCCTTGAGGAAGGGTTGGGTTTGACTGTCTGTATGATGGGAAGGCTGGGAGAGGGTAAAGGACAGAGGATCCATCTCTGCATGGATCTCTAGCCTGTTGCAGGGACAAATAAGGTAGTCTTCAGCCCAGCACTCGGCCAGGCTACTTGGCTTGGGTGCTGGCATGAGGCTATGGCCTGATTTACATGATAGCTACATGTTTTATGTTGACTCTGTGAATAGGATGAATGATGTAAAGCCATGACATTTTGCCAAGAATGACAGCCATCAAGATTATATAACATCTGAAGGAGCTGTACTTGCAGTTCATAGGAAATAAGTTGCAGTCAAGTAGTAAATTATGATCCAAGTGCATCTTTTTTTTATTTACATCCTTTTTTTTTAACTAAATGACTAGTAATAGAATCATGGGGTTAGAAGGGACCACAAAGATCATCTAGTCTAATCCCCTGCCAAGATGCAGGATTTGTTGTGTCTAAACCATCCAAGACAGATGGCTATCCAGTCTCCTCTTGAAAATCTCCAGTGAAAAATCTTCAACGACCTCCTGAGGCAGTCTGTTCCATTATACTACTGTTCTTACAGTTAGGAAGTTTTTCCTGAGATTTAATCTAAATCTGCTATGCTGTAGTTTGAACCCTTTGCCTCTTGTTCTGCCTCTGTGGCAAAAGAGAACAAATTTTCTTCATCTTTTTTGTGGCAGCCTTTCAAGTATCTGAAGACAACTATCATATCCCCCCTTAATCTCCTCTTTTCCAAACTAAGCATACCCAGTTCATTCAGCCTTTGCTCAAATAACTTGCATTCCATCCCTTTAATCATCTTTGTCGCTCACCTCTGGATCCTTTCCAGTATCTCTACATCCTTTCTATACATTTGTCACCAAAATTGGACACAGTGCACCAGCTGAGGCTGAACCAGCACTGAGTTAGAGCGGTACTATCACCTCCCGTGATTTGCATGCTATGCCGCTTTTAATGCAACCTAAAATTGCATTTCCTTCTTTTTTTTTTTGCAACAGCATCACGTGGCTGACTCATGTTGAGGTTGTGATCCACCACAACTCCTAGATCTTCTTTGAGTAGTGTCCCTGTGGGTGCTCCACTTTAGGTGGTAGTGCGTCCCAGTGCTGTCAATTGGAGATTTATGGTAGCAGTGTTTGTGCGGGTTGCGCGTGCAAAGTAGGCATCTTATGGTGCCGTTGGTGCCGGATGTAGCACTTGCGCGACCCAAGCCCTCCAGTTCCTTTTCAGCTGTCCTCGGCTGAAGACAGAGCAAAGGGGCAGTGTTAGTGCTTTTCCCTAAAACCGTTAAGAAATAACTTTTAGATAAATAAGTTGTTATAGAGAGAGTTAGAGATAGTGTCAGGGTTAAAAAAAAAATTTCTTGTTAGTTCGTTAGACAACCTCCCCCTAAGGGATGGTTACTAGTTAAATGCCGGGGTCTCCAGGCTTCAAACAATGCGGCTCCTGCCACGATGTCGTGCCCGTTTCAGACAGACGCTCTTTATGTATACACTGCCTGGGTGAGGGGCATATTCCCCAGAAATGTCCCTACTGCAGCAGGCTGAAAGCCAGAGTCTGACGGGACAGGGATCCCCAGCTTAAAATGATCTTGATGGGGAAGTCTCTCCAGCTTGAGGTGGACAAGCAAACAGCTTCTCTGGGCACTCCTCAAGATGGAAAAGGAGACCTACCCTCTGAAAAACCAAAAAAGAGGGCTCAAAGATCTCTACAGAGGGGTCCGCGAAAACAGAGGTGATCTGCCAGGTCGGTACCCCTGATGCCATCTTACTCTCGGGTGAGCACCTATGACACTGTAGGACCTCCAGCACAGCTGAAGTCAGAGCAAAAGAAACGGAGTTGAGGCACCGACCAAAACATGCCTCCTCCACAGCACCGAGCTCACCGGTACAGGGCTCGGCACTGAGTGTCTGAGGCACCATGCCTCCACCTCCAGCACCGACAACTCAGTTGACGCTGGTAGACACCACAAAATCGGCACTGACGGCACCGGCCAAACAACACCACTGGTCGGCACTGACTCCATCAATGAAAGGGAAAGCACTCACGGCAATGACTACTCAGAAATCAGCACTGACACAGTGTCTGCTGCACCAGAGAGACTTAGAAATCTCATCGGCACCACATTCACCCATACTTCGTGCCGAGGGCTCCCCCAAAGGCTCCAGAGGAGATCACAGTCCAGAAGTCATGGCACGGCTCTCTGAGGAGGAGGAGGAGGAGATGCAGGGACAATAGCTCCATGTCACTCCTCACCTAAGGCACACCGACCAGGTGGAACCACCTGGGTCCAAGACACCAGATGAACCAACCATGGCGCGACTCCCATGGACGTACCCTCTTATGGCTTTCCCAATGCAATGGGCGCATTGGGAACCATGGAGCTCATATAGGGGTCAGCATTCTAGACCATCCATAACGCATAAATGTAAACTGCACTTTAATCCAGCATCTCCCACACCACAGAGAGGGGGAGAGGACTCAGAGATGGGCACAGACCATGACACATCTCCTGTACACAATTCACCTTCCTCCCCAAATGAGGCGATTATGTCCGCACCGCCATAAGATTGCCCTTTCCATCAGTGCGACCATCTTGGATCCTGCGGAGATAGTCTGGCAGACACCTGCTTCTATTCCGCCTACCTGAAAAAAAGGGAATAGAAAATATTACATACCATTCAAGGGGGCAGACTTTCTATTTGCGCACTCAACTCCCTAGTTGTTGAGGCAGTAAATCACCCTAGCAATGACAAAGAACACAGAAGACTCGACTTGTTCGGATGCAAAGTATATTCCTCCAGCACACTTCAGTTTCGAGTGACCAATTATTCAGCACTACTGGCCAGATACGACTATGACAACTATGGGAAACTTGCCCAGTTCACATATGAGCCCCTAGATAAAAAACAGACAAAATTCTAGGCCATTGTCATCGAGGGCCAGCTCATATCCAAAACAGTCCATCGGGGCATTGTACACAGCAGACATGGCAGCCAGAATGAGGGCCACAGCCGTAGCAATGTGCCAAGCCTCATGGCTTCAGGTCCCGGGGATACCAAAAGAACTCCAGACAGAATTAGAGGACTTACCTTTTGACCGGAAGCAACTATTCTCTTAGAAAATGGATGAGGTGCTTCATTCAATGAAGGACTCTCGGGCCACGCTCTGCACTTTGAGGATTTACACCTCCCCTGCAAAGAAAAGGAGATATCAACCATATCAGAGACCTCAAACAGGCAACAACAACAGCGACCATACGATAACCAATGCCAGCGTCCATGATCACAACGCAGGCGAACACCTCAATCTCAGGCGCCATCTTCTCAGTCAGCACATCCAAAACTGCAATTTTGAAAAGTTGGTTGAGGGTTTGAACAACCTCCCTCACGAAGCAGCACTCACACCTGCCCCATACCCAATTTTTGGCCATCGACTCTAGCCCTTTTCCACATCTGGGCCACCATAACATAAAACAAATGGGTGTTAGAAGTTATCAAGTCGGGATACACTATCCCCTTAACCTCCTTCCCACCTACCCTATCCCACCCCCTTCCCCATCCCTCTTCAGGGCCCCTTCTCAGGAGCACCGACTATAACAAGAAGTCGATAATCTTCTACAACTAGGTGCCATAGAACAAGCACTGCTACAATTCAGAGGGAAGGAGTTCTACTCCGATTACTCCCTGACCCAGAAGAAGAGCAGGGGATGGAGACCCATCATAGATCTGCGGAAGCTCAACAAGTTTGTCAGATCCTAAAAGTTCAAGATGGTCACATTGGATATGATACTCCCAGCGCTGCAACAGGGGGACTGGTTTTCAGCCCTCGACCTCCAAG